GAGGTAACAACAGTTCCATCAAAGTGGCTTCCCTAGTTGGATTCAGCTGGCTCAGCCAGAACTGTTATTGAAAATGTACTGGAAATAATACATCTTGCAGAAACGGGAAATACCACTTTCCCACGAATATAAATAAGCAGAAGAAACAAAAAATATTTGACTAGGTGTAGATTAAAAAGCTCCCGATTTCTGTCTTCAATAATGTACTTTTTATTTGTTGTACTATACTGAACAAACTGTAATAACAGAAACACAGAAAATGTACATCTGAAATCAAATTCCCTCCTAGTGTAAATTCCATCTTCACTTTGGATTGATCTGCTGAAGCTATATATTTCTCAAAGTAGCTACTTGAACATCTTGCTTTGAGACCAAAGCAAAAAGCACACCTTCCTTTCTTGAAGCTTTACAATTTCAAAGTCTGTTAAGAGGGTGCACTCCATAAATTTGCCTCTACGGTCCTTTTATTACACTTTCCAGAAATGGATATAGAGTAAAAGATTTCTTCTTATGCTGTGAAGGAAAGACCTTTGCAAATCTTCCCAGTCCCCTGAGGAAAAGCTTGTAAACCTAAGGGCTTGACAACTTTGCCCACAGAGTTTTCAAAGAGCTCCAATGGAAAAGGCTTTTCTTGGTACTCATTATGTGATCTGTCCAAAGTTCACCTTTCTCACTGGAACAGGAAAAAAAAGTGAGAGACAGATGAAAGTACGTTAGATGTTTTTGATTTTTTTAAAGTCTCAACAAGAGGCTTCTGAAAAGCCAGAGGGAAGAGAAAACTACCTTAAAGTTGGGAAGAGAATGCAATTTGGCAGGATTCTAAACCAAAATCTTCCTGCTTAACCCTTGACAGCAGCTGGATGTTCCAGATTCCTTCAAAGAGAACAACCCCTGTGATGCTGCACACACTAGGTATGTCGGAACGTCTCAGGAATTTCAACTGACTACAAACAGAGAAGTAGACTATCTCATTACAGTAGGCATGACAAGACACCTGCAGAAGAAAGGGTTAAATGTCTAGTCAAGAAAAGACAGAAGGTGGTTACTCCTTTAATTTTCTGAAACCTACTGCTTATAGTGGAATGAAGTGAGGTTATCCAACACTAAGAATAATTGTTCTATAAATGTTAGAAAAATATGGGTACTTTTCCCCAGAGAGGTAGAATAGCAGTGTTGCCCAGAAGCCACACTGAACGTTGGGGATGGAACAAACCCACATCCTCATTTATTTGTCCGAGAACTTTTCATTATTTTCTCCTTTATTTTGGTTTAAGAGAAAACTTGAACACTGCACTGGTAGCAGGTAAAATGCGTATTTATAATGCCTTCTCTTAATTTGTACTTAACGCAAATATAATCTGAAATAAAGCACAAAACTTGTCATTTACATAGTGCTCATTGGTAGTTAGGCCTGGTAAAGGCAAGTCAAAAAATAAAATCAGGAAAAACTGGAGAATAGTGAAAAGAAGTTAGAGTGGAAACCGCATTTCATAGAAATTTTTTTTTTTCAGTCTATACAAAACAGTTTGGGAAAATGAGGATTCTGAATGTATTCCAGAAGATGCCGGATACAGAACTCTCAAACTGAACTCAGAGAACTATCCGTATCACCTAAAAAACCTCTCTACATCCATCTCCCTACAGAGTTCACTCTGGTTCACTGTTTCCTTTGGTGCTATTGTCTGCCATGGGGTTACCATCAGAGAACACTGGTAGGCAGTACTTCCCTCTAACATCTATTTTCAACCGCCTAAATTGGTCTTCATAGGATTCCATTGTGCACACTGCAAAGAAACTTGTCTTGTTGCCAGCTAGAACTGTGAACTACATGTCTTTCTTTTCTTCACTGTTCTTTTTTTGGTTCACAAGCAACCTCCTACCAAAAGCAGAATCCGCAGAAGAGACTACATCCAAGCGATAATGCTATGAAAAAGTATGAAGAGAAGCCCAGGTGGCCACCTTGCAAATTTCCAATGTGGAAGCCTTCGACCTCTCCGCCCAAGAAGCAGCTATAGTCCTAGTGTAATGAGCTTTACAAACCCTGGGAGCCTCTTTACCCTTAACTACATACGCCTCCCTAATACAATCCCTTAACCATCTAGCTAAGGAACTCTTAGAAGCCATTTGACCCCTCTTAAGACCCCCTAAGAGTACAAACAATCTGTCAGAAGATATGAAATCTTTGATTCTTCTGTGATAAACCCTAAGTGTTCTTCTTACATCCAATTTATGCAGCCATTGCTCTTTGTCATCGCTGGGTTTAGGGAAAAATGAGGGCCAAGAAACCGTCTGGTTTAGATAAAACTCAGATGCCATCTTTGGGACAAAAAAAAATTTAAAAAGAGGAACCATCCAAAGAACTACTTTGTTTCTGATGGAACTTTACACACGTTCTATATATCAAGACTGAAGTACTATGGGATATGCTGAACAAAAATCAACTAAAAGTGCCATTGAAACAGCTATACACATAAACGCAACACTTGACACAAGCACATGAAAAAACATTATTTTTGTTGCATCTCTGCGTGAGTTACATAGATAAAAAGGCTCCCGTGAATACTAAAAGCAACCAAAAAGAAAAGGAAGCAAGTGCAAGGTTCCAATCTATGTGATGCCTAGGGAAACTTTAGCTCACTTGGATATTAGCCTACCTTTTATGAATTGGCCAGCTTCCCTTAATTTACCAGCAGGACTACTTGCAGAGGACTGGTACTTCAGATATGCCTACACTGCAGCGACTGCAGGGTAGTTGGGATACACCCAACCTAGCTTTAAACCAGTGAGAGAGAGTACGGGTAACTGTCTGGCAACAGCAGCACGCGGTTCAATCTGGGCTAATTTGCTCTGCCTCTTAGGCTGGTTCTGCAGCCTGTGCTGCACTGTAAACCTGATACTGGTACCCGAGTTAATTTAAAGCTGCTTTCGGCAGATCTGCACTCCAGATTCTGTTAAATTAAACAAGATTTCTAGTAATAAGGCTCCTAAATAAGTACAGACGGTGGCCATTATATTTTCTAGTCACATCTTATAATGTGTTCTGATGAAAATAAAGCAAGGATACCGATCAATCCGTCTTATCAAAACCAAGCATTCATCAGGAGAAAAAAATAAGATTATCAGCCCAATATAGGACATTAACAGAAAAAATCTTAAATCCCTTTTGGTACTTAACAGAACCTGGAACTACTGGGAACATAGCTCTCATTCTCCCATATCAAATCATCTTTCACTTCACCACTGCAACTGAGACTTCTGACAATGTGAAGTGAAAATAACACCAATAAATCCTTCTTCTAGTCAGACTTTTGAAAGAAATTTCTCTGGCCGTGTCTTCTTTTCACATATTATCCAGAAAATGATATAACTGAGCAAAGTTTTGTGAATAAAACCACCTGATCAGAACAGCCACCTTAAAACCAAAGGTACGTCTGATGGCTTCACTAGCATCATCTGTAAGAGACTTACCTTCACTTGTGTTTCACAGTAAAACTTTGTTTTCTTTAGAACAGGCCTTCAACAAGATCTAGCCATATTTCCCATTCTGATTCCAGTAAGCGGAGGTACTGGCTTAAGAATTTACTTACTACAGACATGATTACTCTAAAAGAGTATTCCTCAAAGAAGGAGGCTTAACACACTGTTGAGGAACACTCCTGAATGTAATTAAGCTTGGAGAAATGCCTGCAGGATAAAGTCCTAAATACACTTCCTGGAAAATATTTCTCATTAATGTTGAAATCATTAAGTGCTCTGAATTATTGGAGATCACATGTCTTCAGAGTGAAGCTAGTTAAACATGTCAAAGAAATTTCCCATTCAAAAGTTTTTCAGGTTTTTTACATTTTATCGCGGGGTATAGGAACCAAAAGAACACCCAAAACTACTCTTACTGAATGTATATCCTGTCCTCCACGTTACTCCTATGAGAAGTTTACTCTAACGCTGCTTTGTAGGATCAAGGCCATAAAACGTAAAACATACTGTATAATAGCTTAACATGTCTTGACAATTACTAAAACTGGGAGATTAAAGGAGGCAGAAATACATTGAAACCAATAGAAAAAATGGAACTTGAAAGTAAGTTGTATTTGAGCTTTGATGTATGTTCCAAAAATACACAGGTTAACCTGTATTTCTTCATTTCAGAGTGTCAGTATTTTGGATGAAGAACCCATCAACAAAGTGTGTGCCTCAGAACTCTTCTTATTTAATCTTTTTATTATTTTCTATCAGTTTCGTACTCTGAGACCACATTCCCAAAACACCTTTCTTCTCAGCCTGCAGCTTGACTACAGAGATATCGAATATTTGACTCCACCTATCCCCTCTCCCTAAGCAGCCTGGCCTCATTTCTACTCTGATCTTTTCCTGCAATATAATCAAAGCTCTTGAAATCACTTGCTCTCTGGTGACCTGGAGTCTCTCTACTGGCAGAAGTAGCAGAGCAGAAGAACATTTATGAGCGTACTGTGACCTGGAAGGTGTTATTCACCTGAATTTTCAGGACTTCAGGTTCTCCTGATATGACACAAATGCAATTAGATGAAAAAGAGAGTGAGCTTGGAATCTAGGCAAATGCAAACTTGAGGCTTGATTGTGAAGCAGTTTACTGCCTGAAAGGAAGATTCCAAGGACAAGTTCAGAAACAGCCACACTTTCAAAGAATTCAGATTTCATGTATTGTTTTGTCCTCTACGAAACACAGGATTTTATAGATAATTCAATAGGAGAGATTACGTTACAGTTTTTGATACTTTTTCATTATGATTCTCCATCAATAAGTACAGCACATCACATCTTTACACACATCCATCAGTTCTTTTCCAGAGGCCACCGTGCTCAAACATAAACCTGCGTATTTCAGAAAGACTTTCAGTGGATATGGTAAACTGTTGATAAAACATGGTGACATAAATTAGGTAATTAATGTTGAAAATTATATTAAATTATCCTTTTGCACAAAGCAGAATCAGTAAATAAGGAAAAGCATCCATTACCTTGAACATTCTTGTTCTTCTCCGTACGCGAAGGCACCAACAGAATTTCTGTGGAGAGCTCTTCAATTTTTTCTTCCATTAATAAAAAGATTTTGATAAGTTGAGAGAGACATTTGAGTTGATACAGTGTTAAGCAGAAGTTCCTTCCTTTTTTGTGGCATTCTTGGGAGGCTGTTCAAGTAAAATCACAAAGCACCTTTTACTATAGCTTAAAAAACGATCCTGAAAAACTGATTATGTAATAGAGTGTAATATATCGATTTCATTTTTGTCATAGCATGATGTATCTTTTTATCCTTATAAAATACCGTTACATTACTTCTTCCTTAATCTTTGGCATTCCTTTACTATCTGGGAAGCTACAACCGAATTCCAGGTTTTGTTATTTGTTAACTAGGTTTTCCTCCGAGCAACAGATCTACTCAGAAACCTTCTCACCTGTGTTCTACAGGAAAACCACTGTGTTGCAAAAACTGATCGAACAAAAGGAAAAAAAACACGTCATTACTGTATTTTAATGGTTTGGGACATCACATCACTACACTGTCACTCTGCAAGTCACCTTGTCTGTTTAACAATCTGCTAGCACAATACAGTTGATGAATATGACATTTGAGTGAAAAGAAACATCAATCTAACACTCCACAACTTTAAATATGTGGGGTTTGAAAACAAGTGAGACTGTCAGTGAACAAATATCAGCAAGTGTTATACCTATAAGCATTTGGTATTTAAAAGAAGAAACCGAACATTTTATTTTGAAAGGTTAACGCTTGTAATCATAACATATAATCATGTCACATCAACCGGGGAACTCAGATTTGAGCACAGTCAGACTATAAAAGACTGCGATCTGTTTCCCATTTGGTATTACCAAACCGCATGGGTTTAAGTATTTTAATTTTATAACTTCTTTAAATGTAACAAATTTGCACTTCTATGCAAATTGCGGTGAGCTGGTACCATGTTCCCATGCAGTTCTGTTGCACAAGTAACATCAGCAGAACAGTTTATGTAGAAAGTGTCAGAGTGCGAGCCAGAGCAGTTTGAAAGGGAAGCTCTGAAAGACGAAAACAAATAGAAATTGATTGAAATGTACTTTTATGTGTCAAATCTCTCTTACCTTTGCGATTTTGAAGTACTGAGTACCTCCCTTTTTCCTCAAAGTTCCTAAATATTTTTTTTTAGGTATTCACAAATCACTTTTAAATAGACATAGATCTAAGTAGCAGAGTTGAGCTCTGAATACAAATTCCCTAATTTGCTATTCCAGTTTTGCAGCATTAGAGACTGAACTGTGAGTTTTTCATCCACATCTGAATTTCCTCAAAGTTCCAAACCGATGTATTCATGCTAGTCCCTTGCATTTCTAAGAATGGCAAAAGAAAGCATTATGCATAATTGCCTGTTAGTGCCTTTCCTCTCTGAATAACAAGTAAATAATATCTGTACCACTGGATTTCCAATTTGAAGTCTTAAACTTCAAAAAAACCCACCATTCTGTTATTCAGAGAATTTTTCTCCTTTATCTGAAAACTAGATAATATAAACTCAGTTTAGCTGACATGAAATGACTACCCGAGTCTGCAGACACCCAGAAATAACAGATCCAAGATGTAAGAACCACAAATCACACCATAAAAATCAATGGAACGTTAGTTCTGTCTCCTATAATTTGAAAACCCTGTGATGCTCCTGCCCCCTCTCTTGAGGAACAAAGAAACCTTCCAATTATTTGATTGCTCCAAGTGATATTGCCCTCATTAGACCAAAAGGAAGTGGACCTAGAAACCAAAGGTATACCACAGTAATGTTAATTTCAGAATATATTACCAAACTCAGAAAAAAGTCAAAACTTTAATTTTTACTTTCACTGACCATTCAAAGTATATTTCAGCTGGAAGCTGATCCCTCTTTTTCATGCCATTAAGAAGTTGAGAGAACACTTTAATATATGACAAAGCATATTATGGTATATGCAAGTGAACACTTACATAAAAGCAAAAGATTACTGTTTAATACTACATACGTTCTACAGACGTCAAGAAAAGCCCTGCAGAGTTTAAGTTGTGAAATATAGACAAACTTCTAGATGCTTGAAGGTAGTGAACAATATTGGGTTAATTTCATGGGTGACATAAAACTGATACAAAATGAAGAACAGAGGAGAGCACAGAGGAAATTCTGTTTTTCATAAAAAGGCACAGATACATGAGCCACCATCTGATAAGCAGCTAACCCTCACAGACAAGAATGAAGGAGGTGAGAACAGTGGTTTAAGTGCACTCATGAAGGCCTGAATGATGAGGTTGAAACTCCTTCAACCAGCCAGATTTGAAACATATCGGAAATCTATGGGCGGTGAGAATACAGGGATCCGCATCAGCATAAAGTGGTGTGCAAACCTCTGTGACCCAAAGATGGACAAGATAAAGGCATCAGAAAACAAAAAGGAAAGATGGAGCCACCACATAATAAATATTATTCTCCTAAAATTGCTGACACTAGGAAAGAAGGCTAAACAGACAACTTGCACTACAGCTGTAAGGCAGAAAATGCTGAAGATGGGATGCATCGCACAACCCAGACCTTAAGACTTCTCGGTGAGGAGAAAACCAACAAATCGAAGCCAAAATACCTATATGGAATTCGTAGAGAGCTCCACATACCATGGGTAAACCGTTCTTAAATTTTCTTTTGCCCTCTGTTAGGCTTTGTTGTGACTAAGAAAATGTAACGTGACTTACATTTGACATGAAAGTACACCAAAGGTCAGGATGGGACAAAGACTCATGCACCATTTACACAAGCTTTTTGTTACCACACCACGGACAGGTAAAGCCATTAGCAATCAGCACAAATCATGCTGATGTATCATGAACCTGGCTATCAACCAAAACCGATGGTAATAATGCCATAGATATCTGAAAGGACGAGTGCTGGTCCAGTAACGCCTCTCAAATGCTGACCTGCACAGCTCACATGAGGTTATGTGCTATTCCCCACAGCCAACAGGTTTTGAGGCTCTCAACTCAGGGGACTAATCTTTGAACTACACACCTGAGCTGTCCAGAACTATTGCTGCAAGGCACTGCTCCACCTCGTTGTATTTACGCAGAAACCACGGCTCTTACTAAAGGGAGCACTCTCTACAGCTGCAGAAGTGTAAGTACGCCAGAAACACAGACACAGACTAATTCTTATGCAAAACTGGTGCTACTTCTTGTGGGCTTGGATAACAAAAACACGTTTACTGGACAATCCAACTCTTGGAACCAGTTAGCTTGAACCTCAGCTCCACTTAGTTCTCCCACAGTAATTCTGACGAATTGCATGCAGGGAGCCATCAGAGGTTATCTTCCTTTCACATATGCTTGTTTCCATGCCCACAGTTTTATTATCTCTCAGAAATGACAATTCATTTACCTAGTGCCTGATGACCAAGTAGTGTGCACACACCTGAGTACCCAAAGCTTGACTGAAAGATCACACTGTTAGGTTTCAAAATACTGATGGCAGCATTCAACTTTGAAGAGCACTGACCAGGCTGCTTGAATGAGCACATCAAGGGACATGTTTTAGCAGAGGGGAATGAAAAGGCATTTCTCCTCAGACACTGATGTGACTGGACAACCATGGGACAGAAAGATTGGAAAAGAACCATGGAACAGCAAACAGCTAAGCAGCCAATGCAGTGACATAGAGAAAATGTGGAAACAGGCTTGTAAATCTTGTAGAAGATTGTCATGAAGAGTACAGACCTCCATACAGATGTGAAATAGACACGAGGACTCACCGCAACACACGTTTCAACCAAATCGCAGTGTCGTGAACCTGTCTGAAGGAAAATCACCCCTCCTCACTCAGCAGTGTATAATTACTGTGAATGGAGTGGAATTACTGAGTGGATCATGACTGATGATGTCAGGTCATAGAACTAACACAACTCACTCACCCAGGTGACATCGTATGGCAAGAAAGACACTCCTCTGCCGTGAAAATGCTGTAAAGTTGCTGACGGCACCCTACCCAGTTCACAGAGGACCACGCACAGGGTGACTGGAAGCACACGAAGCTGATCTCAGCCAACCACAAATCACCCAGCCATGGCATTCCAGTCTAACCGCAGAGCGGAAGGAAGCACACGGCAAGTTACACGATGCAAACCAACTTCCTTCCTGAACCGCCTGCAGCCCGCTACTGTCATTCCTCTGAACTTGCATTTTTCTGCATGCCTGAGTTTAATTCCTGTGGTCCTTGTAAAAGGAGAGAACCGCAGTCTCTAGCTACAGGGACCCATCAACCAGACCTCTATAGCGTCTCCTAACAAGAGGACACGTCAACTTTGTGTTAAACCACTACGTAGTGAGAATAATTTCTGAAATGGGACAGAAAGGCTGACACAGGAGCTGCAGAGAGGCTAAGTAGATCATAAAGCCATTGTCAATGTGCTCATCAGCTGATTTTGCAAATATTGCTCTAAACAGCAGTGAGGTCAGGACCTAAACAAACAGAGGAGTAAGAAAAGGTTCTGAACTCCTGAACAAAGCTTCAGGCTTCCTTCTGTGCAGGACAAGAATCACAGATATGTCACTGTACGAAGTCACTGACTATACATATGACTTCTGAACTGCTCTGGAGGCTGATCTGCCAGCAGACAAGTCTTAAGCCAGCATGACGAGCTATCTTCAGGCACAACAAAAAAGATCCCAGCCAAGCACAGTGTCAGGGACCACCAAAGGCTGGCTGCTCCCTGAGGGACAGAGCGTAGAGCATGATGACAAGGCCATCAGGACAGGTTCCTCACCAGCCAGGCCCCTGTTCCACAGTCCCTAAAGCAGGCACGCAAGGCAGACCCAGAGATGATAGTCAGGTTTCAACCAAGAATCCAGCCCATCAGCCAAGTTCACGTTGATGATGTAAATCTGAGGCTGAGCCAGGAAGTTAATTAAAATAGGGATCAGGTCTGGTGAGGGTAACCAAGAGTCAGACACTGTTCAGTGATCATTGGGTAGGACCATGGTGATAAGGATGGCTCAAGCTTAAGCCAGAAAGTCTGATCCAATGGGATCCATGGCCAGTCGTGGACATGCTCTGGTGGACATGGGCATCAGGACATTGTGATGCAGCTCAGGCAGGAACCGAGGACCCAGGCCTCAGCTGAAATAGGT